CCGCAGTCACCATGTACGAACATCCAGTTCCTGGGTACTGTATGAATGAAGGTTTAGCTTGGCTGAATAACGGTACTTGACAGCTACCCTTGTCTTTACTAACTTGTGTGGGTACTTAACTCTCTGTCGCAGCCTCTAAATTTACAAACTATGAATATTAATACCATCTACCTTTGATAGTCAAATAAGTCAATAGCAGATACATGTTTAGGATATTCTTGGGCATGTGGTAAAGTAACAAAGTGTTCTTATTTCAAATACTTTTCAAGGCATAATTTTAAAAGTAGTCATTGCTACTTATCTGTAAATTCCTCCACAATTTACAGATAAGCATATTGGAACTCAAAAAAAAAAACCATATTAACTAGTAAGAGGCAGAATAAGGGCTTCAACCTTCAAGTGTTTAGCTACTCCATCACGCTGGCTCTCCCTCAGCTTCAGCTAACTCACATAAAATTCTTTGATTAGTTTTCTGTTGGACACATCAGGGGCTTTTCACATGTCTTTTTCGCTTGCCCATCCTGTTGCTACTCTATCTGAACAGCTCTATTTGTCAAACCAATGAAGTTAAGATTACCCTGCAAAGCCCGTTCAGTTGCTACTTTTCCTCCCTTCCCTCCCTTCCCCCACCTTCACAGAGTTAATTGCTTGTCTGTGTTTCTTTAACACTTATCTCACCTGTCTCCCTCACAGCACTTAGCACATTGTCTCAGACTCTGTGGATGTCTTCAGTGTGAGATGATGAGGCTCCTTTGCAGCATAAAGTTTATTTAAAATGTTAGACTCTGCCAGGGCCTCACAGGGATGCTTTTGTTGAATCTTCTCAACAGCTCCAGAATTCTTAAACTATTGTAATCCCATTTCCATTGATAAGTCAGAAAGGCGAAGTCACTTGACAAAAAGTCTATCTAAACTAGGGGCATAATGAATGATTATCACAATCATTAAAATGTGTTTCAATTAACAAATAAACAAATACTTTCAATAAACAAATGCTTAGCAAAAAGGGAAGGAAATTCATTTTCATGGGAAAAAACATTAAATTTAATGGTTTTTGATGAACAAAAAAAGAACACATTCTGCTTCACTTCTTTAATTGTTTTTTCCCTTTCTCTAAGTCTATAAAAAGAAGCAACTGACTAGCTTTGCCTACTTCAAGCTCAGTTCTCAATCCAACTTTACCATTTTTTTTTTTTTTTTTGGTATTTCGATCCCTTGCCTGTGGCATAACAGATACCGTCCTTCCGCATCCTACGATCAATAGTGGATACCCACATAAGTTAAATGCTTCAGCGCCTCACATCCACCAAAACCGCATGAAACTTGTCCTGGATTACAATATCAGCATTACTATTTGTGACACATTGTTCCACATGCGTCCTGAGGCAGCAAAAGGAGGTGGGAACTGGCTGTAAAGGTCAGGTGTGAACCTCCAACTGACCTGTGGCTTCCTGGAGCTCTATTTGTACATCCACTTCTAGGGAAACACATTCTCCTGGGGTTCCTCTAGGAGACTTAAGAGAATCTGGTGCTTTATCAACTTCCTGACTTGGTGATCGAAAATGGCCCTCTAACTCAAAGCGTTTAACAGCTAGTGGACAACATCCACTGGCAAGAGGAGATGATTAGAAAGCTCCTTTCCTTGTTTAAAAACAAGGCCTTATTTATGTAACTTTTTTTAAGTTAAAGGCTTTTGATTTTACTATTTATTTTCGGAATCTGTTATATTGCATCACAAGGCAAAAGTTTTGTCAGCCTGGTTCACCTCAAATCTCCATATTTCCCTATATTGCTCCTTTATTTTTCTAAAAAATATTCTTAATTTACTTGACTATTTAGACTTATGGCAAAACTAAACTGGCCATTTACAAATGGCTCCTTAATTTTAAGCAGAGTGAGGGCTTTGGAGTCACACCTTAGCTTTGAGCAATTCTATCATTTTAATATGAGATAAATAAAGGTTTTGAAGGTCTAGGAAAGTCACAGAATCAATGGCATGTCCATAATTGAGAAGGACAGTAAAATTTCTATTAATGGACAGATAATAGAACTTGTACTTTCCATTCAAAATATTGATAAACATTTATTATCAAATACAGAAGTAATATATTTATTTTTCCCCCCACGGAAAAAATTCAGACTCACAGACTTTACTTTGATTTTAGTGTCATTAGCCAGTGTTTGAAAGCATAAGTTGTTATCTTAGCTCTTTTTTTTCCTTCTAGCATGGAATTGATACAAGGTGACATTTTGTGTGTAAACAAGTTATAGACTATGCTACCCATGGAATAAGAAAATAAAAACACAAATCTGTCTAATGGTGAATATAGAAAAATGAAGAGTTTGGTTTCAAGGTACCACTTCCCAGCAGTAATCACAGATGCAGCCCAGTTCAGCAGTTAAATGACTTATGTGGAAGGTACATGTCTCCGTAAATATACCTATTTCATTGTGCTTGCAGTGGAAATAACTGTTGGAGTCCAAACCAACTTTCTAGCTATGGGGCACTCAGGAGTTGTATTTTCACCCCCAATAAGGAGCAGTAGAAATCTTAAAGGGGCAGAATATTTTAATAATAAAAATGCACCTCATTTCACATATTGTTTCCATCTTTGGTTGGCACCAAGGAAACCCCCCCTCCCCAAACCCCGTGGTGCTAATCACTAAGATGCACAGGGACAAGTTTTGTCATTTGACTGCACTTTACTGAGACATTTTCATGGTGATTTGAGAGAGCTATGACTATAGCAGAAAAGACTCCTCTCTTGAAGGAATTAAATTCTGTCCTGTGGAAGTAAACAATTATGACACAGCGGGGTGGGGAAAGGCTTTACATTTATGTCTCTCTGTGACTTTTATACAAACTGTGAACAACATGGGAGCTATTTCCAAAACACAGCATCAGTGATACATTTAAGCTTGAGTGACAGGGTCCTGCCACTTTCCTTAGTAAGAGCAAATGGTTTCCCAGAGTTGAGGAAGTAGGACATATAAAACGTTCCAAGGCAAACCAGGAGATAAGGCATTAGAGAGAAGGTGGAAACACTTAATTTGTGCTCATTAATTCTGTCGTTAGTCTACAAGTATTTATTATTTTAGCACCCACAACAGACTGTTACTGTTGATTCTTTCCCAGGTGTCTAAGCTCAATGTTAGATCATTCTGTCATGTTTTCTACGATACTCACAACATGAACCTCAGAGCCTAGGACAGACTTACTAAGTAAATGAGGAGACTAGTCAGATAAATATCCATACAAATGTGGCTATTTCCATGTGTTAACAATGACAAATCAGTTAATTCTATAGAGAATGATGTCGAAATTCAATTAGCTAGCATGTAAAGAAGATAGTCAATTGACTTTCGTATTTACAATTAATGTTTTTCAATTATAATCCATTTTGTTATTTGATTCATGCCTATGTAGAAAACCAGACTAGCTACTCACCTCCATCTGCCTTAGTTAATATCTGTATGGGATTCCATAGCCACGAACATAAAAATCTACTGTGTACAGAGTGAACCAGATGGCGGAGCACAGGCATATCCACTGAAAAATATTACCACTCTGATGGAAAAACATTGTGAAGATTGTTCAGCTCTGAACTGTAATTAGTCCAAGAAGAACCCATTGTTTATTGATGAGGAGTCTTTCTCAATGGGAAGATGGACTCCCCAGTGAGAATGTATTTTTATGGATTGAGGATTAGTAACCTTTTCAAGTTGAATTAATTACCAACTCTTTTTATTGACTATTGAAATGGTTGCCAAAATAGCTAATGTGTTTTTTTTTGTCATAAAGACACTGGGGAAGATTTTTATTTTTTATGATTACTACGATTACTTACTGACTTAAAAGCTTGATTGGTAGCCGAGGCTGTGTCTGATCCACTGATTCAGCCTTCACCTGAAAATTCCAAGTTGTTCAAGAGACACAGTCACTAGAGTTAGCTGTGATCACTAACCTCCCTGGGACCAGTCACTTATACAAACTGTTGTAGTCCAAGTAGCTAGGTGGAGTCAGGCAAAATCACTTGCCTTTCTCTTCTGTCTTATCCCCAAAACTGAATCCACACCTGTTCACTGATCTAAATAATGGAAGTATGGATTGGTGAGGCCTCAAGATCATTGCTGAAATTTCAGATTGATATTCAAAACTTTAAGCAAAGTTCTTCCTGAAAATAATCAATGTCATATGTCTTTCCTGCAAATTTTGAGATGGAAACATGTTAACAGACCATGTTTTGGTAATATTATTTTTATTGGGTTGTTTTTGGTAATGGTTTTAATACCAACAAGGAGCTCTTATTGCTAGATCCACCTCACTGCTATGCATTAAATTTTGTCCCAGATCAAGTCAGCTTTGGTGTAGACATGAGGTTAGACTGCTCACTAATAATGGCTTGAGCAAAAGCTTAATAGTTGCATAGACATTGAAATTTTCAGTTGCTTTTTTCTATTTATATTAAAATTCTGTTTATAGAAGTACTATATCAATGAGAAAATCTGTTTCATTAGGTTCTTAATCTTATTTTTCATATACAAAAGCAAAACAAACAAATAAACAAACATCCCTCCAAAAACAAACAAACTATGGAAAACCAACAGAACTAATAGCAACGTCCTCTGTCTTTGTAATACTGAGCCTACAAGCCATTCTTACAAGTAATAGATTTAGATCTCAAAATTTCGACTGTACACTAAAATGCAATAATTATATTAAAGTTCCAAACCAAACCATTAGACATGTGTTCATTTGTAAATGCATATAATAATAAATAAAAGTATGGACTTGAAAGGCTACTCAATAATGGTTTTAAATATTAAGTCAGCTTTCTGCTGTCATTCATATATTTCCAGTTTCAGAATATAGTAGCTACAAAAATAAAAGTGATTATAAAGCAAATTTATCTAGTTTGTGCTTGTATGCTAGATTAAAAAAAATTATATGCCAAAATGTAAAATGTATTCCACGAAAATTAACAGGCTACACAGATAAATTTTGGCAAATGCAACTTTATATTGAAGTTCACACATCTGTATCTTAAAGAATGAGACTCACAGAATCTAATGTATTTCTAAAATACCAGAAATCATATTATAAGCTTTCACAAGTTAAAACTGAAATAATTTAAAGGACCAATACACTGAATGTGCAGAAAGTATAAAGAAGACTGTGCCTTCCATACAATAAATGCTTCACAAATTGTGCCAGATGTCATACTAAGGCTGTGGGCTCCCCTGACAGCTGACTTACAATATAAACACATATCAACTGTCTGCTTCTTAGAACACACTAGAAGGGGTAGCACACCTCAGAAGAAAATCTCATTATCCTAATGGTGTGAACATTTACTTCCAAACCACTTGAGGGAAGAGGGGAAAGTATTCAATGCTCTTCCATGCACTTCCCAATGAATAGCCAGGGCTGGTTACTGATTCAATGCCTCATGACTATTCGCTTCACTGCTAAAGAAGATGAAGGATACTAGATAACCCTTTAAGGCAACACGTGTTTATTCTGCATTTTTAGAACTCCTCATCTCTGGTCAGTTGACTCCACTCATGTTGCCTTTCAGACAGATATCTAGCATTTGTAAAATAGAAACAAACTGGAAACTTTTTTTTTTTTTTTTTTTTTTACTGAATCAACAAAAAACACATAATACAGTTCAATGCTAGCAATTTCACTGGTAGGGAAGGAAAGTGGCATTTAGAAATAGCAATATATTAATACAAAAAAGGTAAACTCTAATTGGAACCAATATACTGCTTTGGAATGCTCCCCCAAACTTACAAGGCGTGTTTAAAGTGTTGTACCCCAATAATTCATGGCACATCTTTGAAGAATTACAGTACTGTTAAGTCCCCCAGTAGTGTAGTCTTTGCAAAACAAAAATAGTATGAAATGTTTTAAAGTCTTCAAACTTCTAAAATTAGCTTTTATCAACACATTAACCTCATGTCAACTTAATTTATTAAAATGTCCAATGCTAATTGTTTTTTAAGTTTTTTTCATATGTAATGATATACACAGCATTTAGCACTGATACTTAGCACCTGCTACGTTCGTTATCTAGTGTTCACCCACAGAAAGAAACTTAGGGCAGTGGTTCTGTCCTTTCTTAATTACAAACCTTCGCCAGCAGTCAGCAGGATCACTCTGAGATTTTAAAATAGGATTATAGGTGAACTATTGCAAAGACTGCAGAATGTTGCCCAAATCCTTAGAACTGCTGATCCCATTCTTGATTTTCTTCTCAAGACATGGCTACAGGCCACAATTGCTTAGCAGAGAGGGTTAGTGTTTCACAAGGCTAAAGATTTACAGATGCTCCCTCATATAACACAGTAAGGTTCCCTTGGTAACCTGGATTTTCTGCAGTAAAGAAGGGTTGTGCTGAAAGAGCGCCTCAGCTCCCTGTTGGAGAAAATGCAGACAAAGGGATTGATTCCTGCTTGGGCGAAACTCATCCAGACAGCGGCTGTTAGAAATCCCCCTGGTACTACAGGCCCTCTTGCAAAAACTCTCCAATAACAGGCCACCAGGTAGGGACCCCACAAGGTTAGGAAGAGGAAAGTCATTATATAGAACATTCTGCTGATTCTTTTCTCCATTTTGAACTCATCCAAGACCAATAGCCGTCTTCTGCCTGTGGTATTCGCATTTTGCCTGATGCCCAGCAAGGTGGGTGGTGTGGGACCCCTTCCAAATCCTGCTAGCCAATTGGCAGCTGCCTGGCCACTAGCTCCAGGGCCATGAAAGGTCCAGTTCTGACTCACTGCTGCTACAAACTGGACTGGCTTCATTTTCCTTCGATCGTGGACAAAAAATATCAGCTTGAGGTAGACAAGCTGTGTGGCTAGGAGGATCAGAGCGAGGAGCAGCATAAATCCTAGGGAATCGTTAGCCCTGAAGGAGCGGTGTTGGAAGGTGCACTGATCCTCCTCTCTAATGAATGAGTAGGTGCCTACATCTAAAACTGGGGGGAATGCCATGGCCACAGACAGAGTCCACACCATGCAGATCACAGCCAAACACGTCCAAAAGGTCAGCCTCTTTGTATAGAAGCGGTGATGGGCGATGGCTAAGTATCTGGTGACGCTGATGCAGAAGAGCATGAAGGCAGTGTGGAAACAGGACAAAACCCCCAGGAAGGCAATCACTTTGCAAGTCAGAGTCCCATAAGTCCAGGTAGAGCCATTTTTGACAGAGTTGAATACAAATGGAAAACAAATTGCAGATCTGAGGATGTCTGAGCAGCACAGATCCAGCAGGAAGTAGTAAGGAGCTCTATGCAAGGTCTTATCTTTCACTAGCAAAATGGAGATCAGAAGGTTGCCCACCACACTGACTCCTATTATGAAACCCAAGGAAGTCAGTTTCAGAAAGGCTGTGAGAGGCGAGAGATTTTGCAAAATGTTGTCAGCTGCATGGCTATAGTTCGCCATAGATGGATGGAGGATAAGGAGACAGCCTCAGTCAAGTCTCATGATCTAGATATAAGAACAAGGAAAAGATAGATCCATACATTTTACTGAAAATGTAATCCACAAAGAGATCAGATCCAGTCTGTGGTCATGCTTCCTCTTTCCTTCCGTTTGATTTGCCATCAGAATAGCTGAAGAAGAAAAAGAGACAAAAAGAGAGAACTATCAGTTCTTCAGTGGATAAGTAATGATGTCAGTGCTACCCTAAAGCTCTTCCTTTATGAGGAAGCAAGTAAAGTTTCCATTTTAAACAGCACTGTTTGCTTCAGCAGCAATTTGAGATGTCAGAGTACTTACTGGCTGTTTTAGCATTCTAAGCTAGGTGAACTTAACAATGTCCTTATTCTAGACACCATATAGTTAGACTTGGACATCTTCAGGAAGGAAGGGAATAAATTGTTCCACAGTTGTAAAATCCGCCAGCCCCAAGAATTAATCACTAGCTTTGCAATGGAATCTGCAAGATTGTTAAGAGGAGGCAGACAGGAGGCTACCCACAGTTATTTGAGCTCTTTTAATACCATCAGTAGTTTAAAGGAATCGTCTCAGCTCATATGCATGCAGAGAACCTCTGCAAATATATGTCTTTTAAGTCAAGTGCCCACTGTTCATGCTGCATAAAAGTATTTGTTGATTAATCCCCAAGCATAATTTTAACACCAGACTTCAAAATGAATAGAAACCTGTCCGGTGATTCGATGTGATTTAATCTTTTGTCTTTCTCTCCCTACCCCACCCCACCCCCACCCCCTCTTTTGGGCAAATCCTGTCTCTTTTAAAGCTACATGATTATTAAAAATGGTAAATGTAAATATTGGCCAGGGAAACACACCCAGAGGGATAATGCACTTCCAGTTGTAAACCTTGGCTGCCTGGATTCAAATGAATATAGCATGAACCGGTATTTCTTAGGTAATTAAGCCCTTCTCATTTACACTGATAATCTCCGTTGCAAATCACAAGTGGCTTTATTTTCAAACAAAATGCACATTGTCTCCTAGGTGCCTGTGAGCCACACCAGGGAAATCAGTTTCCTCTGTTATTCCCAGGAAGCGTGTTTCCTTTGCCACTTCTCACTTGCCTGGAATATGCTGATGGAAGCCCAGGCAGAACTGCATCCGATGATGTTAATTTTCCAACCGGTACATCCCCGGGTAAATACAGATCGCATCATGCAACATTACGAAACCTGAAATCCACCACCCCTGGATTTATAACGGAGTTGGGGGAGGGGGAAGGGAGGTTGAAGAAGGGAGGGAGAGAAAGAGGAAAGGAGGGAGTGAGGGAGGGAGGAAGAGAGAGAGAGAGAGAGAGAGAGAGAGAGAGAGAGAGAGAGAGAGAGAGAGAGA